AAGATTTAAAAAAGAAACGTATAAAGACTAAAAAAACAAAAAACTTAGTTTGGGTAGATGTTGATTCATGTTTTAATGGGCGGATTCGAACAGGTGCAATAATAAATTTAGGTATAAAAGATCCAGACATATTTTTAAAAAAGGCCTTAAGAAGTTTTTTAATTAAAATTAGACAAGCTCTGAAGACTTCAATGATTAAAGTTAATGTTAACTTTTTAGCTAATTTTATAAAACCTACTAATTCTGAAATAGAAGTAAAGCATTTCACTACTAAAAATCAAATAATTGATAATTCTACAAATTTAAAAAGTGGTATAAGGAATATATTAGAAATTATATTTTAACAAAATTATCAGAATTTCAAGAACGAGATAGTGGTTGGGCACTTTATGAAATTCTTCAACTTAAAGTAAATATAAATAAATTTGTACCTATTACTGCAGGTTTTTCTACATTTGTTAATACACCTAAATTTATATACAAAACGAAATCTATAATAAACATAAAAAATAATGATGAATATTGTTTTCTTTGGTCAATAGTTGCATATTTAAATCCTGTTTCGATTAATTCTAATCGTGTTTCATCCTATCCTCATTTTAGTGAAATAACCTATAGAAAAGATAAAAGAAAATTAAGCTATGAAAACTTTCAATTTCCTATGCATTTAAAGGATATTCCAAAATTTGAAAAATGTAATAAAATTTCTATAAACGTTTTCAGCTATCAAAGAAACGAAATTTTTCCTTTAGCTTTAAGTAAAAATGACTTTTCTATTAAAATAAATTTACTACTATTACCAAACCATTCTGATATTGAGGATGCGAATAGTAGTGATGATGATGATGATGATGAAATTGAATGTTTTAAACAAGAAACAAATAATTTTGCTCTTATTAAAAATTTATCTCGATTACTTCATAAACAGTTACCTAATCGAAAGAATAAATCATGGTTATGCGAACGCTGTTTAAATTCATTTATATCACAAACAATTTTGGAAAAGCATTCAGTTAGTTGTAAAAAAATGAATACATTTCAAGTTATCGTTCCCAATGAAAAAGAAAAAATATTAAAATTTTCAAAATTTAAGTAGGGTAAACCACCCAGTTATTGGACATGTAGCAGTTATTAGACACTTTAGTTTTACAAAACAAAAATAAGATTTCTTTTTGATCTATTTTCTTCGATTTCGCATAGATGGCATTAAAAAACATTTATGTGGCGGCTGCGCATAATGCGCCATCTTTAAAATTTGTTTTGGCGGGAAAATTTACATCAGCTGTTGATTGTGTCGAATACCGGAATTTTTCTTACGATATCGTTAAGAACCCGTTTTCGTGACAAGTGAGGTGCTAAGTGTAAAATAAGGTATGTAATGACGTTTCACTAAGTATACACAGAGCAAATATCATTTTTCACATGTTTTGCATGCTTAAAACGCATTTCACGAAGAGTAAAGTTAGATTTGGGGGTGTCCAATAACTAAACTTTTGATAACCAATTTTTTCAGTTATTGACACCTGTCCAATTACTACTTTTCCTAAAATCATTAGGTCTTACATTACCTAAAAATGCCCGTTTTCTGCTGAATCTTATAACACAAGAAACGTTGGCATATAAGTACCTATAAAGCAGTTATTGGACGCCTGTCCAATAACTAAATAAAGTTATGTCCAAACTAACACGCTTGTTTTTGTAGGTTAACATAATGCCTAAAAGATCTGTATATGATTCCGATCTTGTTGAGCCTGCAGTGCAGGATGTAAAAACTGGCAAACTCTCACTAAGGGCAGCTGCAAAAAATATGGCGTGCCAAAATCTACCATTGAATTTAAAATGAAAACCTGGGACACAAAGATACATGTGGGCCGCCTCCGATACTTACAGCAAAAGAGGAATATGTGCTGGTCGAGTAAGAATTTAGGGCTCATGTAAGGGCTTTCTTGATTTTTATAAAATTTGATTATTTCCTTAGATGGATAGTGGAACTTGCCAAACGTGGGTTTCCACGTAAAAAAGGAAGATATCCTTTAATAGCGTCCAAAAATTTTTGCTGGAGAATCCCCTGACCTAATCCCTTTAAAAAATAATAGACCAGAGACTGCTGGTTTAAGGTAAAATAGGTAGGTACTGGCTAATAATTTTTGTTTAATTTTGGTTTACTGCATTAATAGGCTTTTCTTTCGAAGACATCCCAGTATAGTGCAAAAAGAACTAGTGAGGTTGTAAGTTCAGCTAGCGCATGTGTATCGGAAGCGGATATCCGAAAATGGTTTGCTGAAATTAAAATTTTACCTCAAATCTAAAGATATTGATATGGAAGATCCGTCCCGTATATTTAACGGGGATGAAACTGGTTTTTTTCAAATTTGCCCTCAGACGGGTAAAGCTTTTGCCGCAAAGGGGGAGAAAATGTATATTCAATTGAAAAGGTTCTGCAAAAGATAATATTACCGTTATGTTTTCGTTTGCTGCTTCAGGGATAATGTGCCCACCTATGATCATCTTCCCGTACAAGAGAATACCTGAGAAAATTGCTGTTACTGTAAACTCGTCTTGGGGAATCGGTCGTTCAGATAATGGGTGGATGACATCTGAGACTTTTTATGAATATATTAAGAATATTTTTTACCCCCATTTGATAGAAAATAATATTCAGTTTCAGTGGTTCTTTTTTGGACGGACATAAGTCCTATTTAAACGTATGAACTCAGTTTACTCTGTAATGAACTGAATATAGAGGTCATCGCTTTATATCCCAACGCAACCAGGATTTTACAGCCCTGTGATGTTGCTGTTTTAGGCCAGTAAAAATGGGCTGGAAGAAAGCGGTTAGACAATTTTATGAAGAAAACCCGGAGAAGTTTTAAACAAAACATAATTTGCTCCACTTCTAGAAAAGTTGTCACTGAAGTAATCCAGCCCAATATATTAATAAATGGATTTAGGGCATGCGGGTTGTTTCCCTTTAGCCCAGATAATGTAGATTATTCAAAGTGTTTAGGGGAACCAATAAATCTGTTAGAGTAAACAATTTATATAATTTTAGTTTTCAGCTTATGATTTAACACCATTTTTTTTGCTTTCTTATACAGGAAATACCAGATCCAGGAGCCCAGTTGAATCACGACAAGTTTCTTTATTTTGTCGGAAAAGAACTTTTACAGTGTCGGAAAAGAACATACAGTGGTTATAAAGGAAGGATTTAATGATGAGTTCTTAAAACTTCATCAAATGTGGTCATTCTTAGGTAAACCCGATGCAATTAAAAATGATGACTTACGCTATCCTATTCTAAATGACACTAACAATGCAGTAGAACTCACTACCGCAAATGCAGAAAGTGAAATTAAGAAGCTAGGTAAAATAAATATCATTCAAAATATAGTTGTTACAAAGGCTACTTTCCCAGAAAGAGGTTATGAAAAATTTGGCTAGTATTGAAATCCCCTTTAGAATTTAACAATATAGAGCCCGAAAGTCTACAGGGTTCAACTAGAGCATTACCTTTCGCCTTAAGTCTACCTTCAACAAGTAAATGTCCGATGGAATCCGATGCAAATTTTGTAGACGAATCTGCAAAGTTGGAACAAATAGTTTCACGACCTGAAAGTTCTGTGGCCATTAACGAGAATGAGATCCATTTTGCCGATTCCAGCGTTTTAAATATTCCAACAACTGAAGAACCTACCGATACCCTTTCGAAGCCCGATATAGTCTCTCCCTGATATTTCCAGCGTAGCGTTAAAGAAGAAAAGTAGTATTGTTGAATACCTTGAAAATTCCAAAAAAACTGAAAGAAAAGCTAAACGAAACGTTGAACGGGTTCCCTTTGCGATTACTTCTAAATCATATCAGGAATCATTTGAGGCTAAACGTGCTCTAAAACTAAAAAAGAGGAAACAAAAAATTGGAGAGAAAAAAGGCAGAGGGAAGAAAAAATGTCAACAGCAAAAAATAAAAAACTTCATAAATCGGAAACAAAATATAATCAATGTTTTATATGTAAAAAGTCTATCATAAAGGACGATTAAAATGTGACACATGTAAAAAAAGATTTTCATGAACGCTGTATCCCAAAATCTCACAAGGACCATATTCCTGTAGAAGATGATGACCTGTTTTTGTGTCACATATGTTATAAGGAAGAAAGTGACGACAACTCTGAAAGTAATCAAAGTGAAGAAGGAAATGAAGTAAAAGACTTAAGAAATTATACTAATACAAGTGAATTAAAAAATACTGACAATCAGAAAAATATTATTTCAGAAGAAGACAATAAAATCATAGAAGAAGAAATAGACGATTTGTATAATTACTACCTACAGAACAAAAGACAAATAAATGGAAATACCAGTAAAGAAAAAAAAATGTTTTATTTCATGATTACATAAATCCCCAACAATAGGTAAATAGGTAGGTACCACGATTTAAGTTCAGATTAAGCTAAAATTGTGTTAAACAATTGTACCTAACCTGTCCAATAACTGCCAAAAACGGTGTCCAAAAAACTAAATAAAGTGTCCATTAACTAATTTTTTGAACCTTGTTTAAATTTTACATTTTTATTCAAAAGAACACTAAATTCGCTAAATAAAACAGAGAAGTGATAAAAGAAAAGAAATACCTTTCCATTTCTGCAAATGCTGCGCAGATAAAATCAATGGTAAATTTTCTATGAGCAAATTAAAACAAAAAATATCTTAAGTGTCCAATAACTGGGTGGTTTACCCTATAAGGAAAGTGTTCCTTTTGTTATTTATGCTGACTTGGAATGTATACTTTTCGATGTGAAAAATGAAAATAGTTTTAATATAAAATCGAAAAAGTGTCAAAAACATGAACCATTTAGTATTGCATACTATTTAAAATATTCATATAATGATGAACTTTCACGTTTTAATCTGTACACTGGTAAAGATTGTATAAATTGGTTTATTAATGAACTAAATACTATAGCGTCAGATGTGCATAATATTCTTTGTAAATTTATTCCAATGAAACCTCTTACACAAGCACAATACCAATATATTCAAAGCTGTAAAGAGTGTCACATTTGTTTGAAACCGTTTAATAAAAATGATACAATTGTTAAGGATCATTCACATTTTACGGGTGAATTTCGAGGTCTTGCTCATTCTCACTGCAATATTAATTATCAGGATTCTCATACAGTACCTGTTATCTTTCATAATCTCTCAGGCTATGATAGTCACTTCCTGATAAGGGCTTTAGCTACTCAGATTAAGGGAAACATGAGTCTTTTACCATTAAACAAAGAACGATACATTTCCTTTACAAAATACATTCACAACACAAAAGTTAATTTTAGATTTTTAGATTCGTTTCGTTTTATGGCTAGTAGTCTCGATAAATTAGCATCTTATCTAGTAGATAATCAAAAAGAAATTATTCTAAAATATTATCCAAAGCATGTGGAGTTCCAATTGTTGTCACGTAAAGGAGTTTTTCCTTATGAATACCTAAATAATTGGGAAAAATTACAAGACATTGAATTGCCTACAAAAGATCAATTTTATAGTTCTCTTAATAAAACAAATATTTCCGAAGAGGATTATCAGCATGCAAAATTAGTGTGGAACACGTTTAGCATTAAAAATCTACAAGAATATGCAGAATTATACTTAAAAACCGATGTTTTGTTACTTGCTGATATTTTTGAAAATTTTAGAATTACATGTATGAAGACCTATGGATTATGTGCTCTTAATTTTTTTACCGCACCTGGATTAGCTTTCCAATCTATGCTGAAAATTAGTAATATAGAGCTTGAATTGTTAACTGACATTGATATGATTATGTTTATTGAACAAGGTATACGAGGGGGTGTTTCACAATGTTCTAATCGATATGCAAAAGCAAATAATAAATATATGGAAAACCAATTTGATGACAATGAACCTTCATCATATCTTATGTATTATGATGTTAATAATTTATATGGAGCAGCTATGTCTATGCCTCTGCCTCAATCACATTTTGAATGGGTTCAAGATATATATGAGTTACCAAATATAATAGATATTCCTGAAAATAGTGACATTGGTTATATCTTTGAAGTTGATCTTACTTATCCTCAAGAACTTTTTGATTATCACAAAGATTTACCATTATGTCCGGAAAGGAGAATACCTGCTGGTTCAAAGATTCCTAAATTACTTACAACTCTATATAATAAGGAAAAATATATCATTCACTATCGTAATTTACAACAAGCCGTTAGTTTAGGATTAAAAATAACAAAAATTCATAGAGTTTTAAAATTTAAACAGTCTTGTTGGTTAAAGTCTTACATTGATTTAAATACAGCATTGCGAAAAAATAGTAAAAACGAATTTGAAAAAAACTTTTACAAACTGATGAACAATGCTGTATTTGGTAAGACTATGGAGAATGTTCGTAAATATAAAGATATTAAACTTGTAACGAAATGGTCAGAAAGGTATGGAGCTAAATACTATATTTCACAACCAAATTTTCATAGTTGTACCATTTTTGATCAGGACATGGTAATAATCGAAATGAAACGTGTAAAAGTTAAATTTGATAAACCAATTTATGTAGGATTTTCCATTTTAGATTTATCTAAGACTTTTATATACGATTTTCATTATAACTATATTCAAAACAAATTTGGAGAAAAAGCAAAATTATTATATACTGATACTGATTCTCTCATCTACCATTTTTTTGTGAACGATATTTATTACTCAATTCAGCAAGACATTCATAAATTTGATACATCAGACTATCCTCCTAATAATGTGTATAATATACCACAAAAAAACAAAAAAATATTAGGTCTTATGAAAGATGAAAATAATGGGAAAATAATGACTGAATTTATTGGTTTACGATCTAAACTGTACACTTTTAGAACTCAAGCACATAGTTGTGAAAATTTAAATGTTAGTAAAAAAGCTAAGGGTATAAAGTCATCTTCACTTAAAGCTATAACTTTTGACGATTTTTATCAATGTCTTTTTAATAATTCCACTCTTGAAACTGAACAACATTTAATTCAATCAAAAAAACATCAAGTGTATACTATAGCCCAAAGAAAAATAGCTCTATCTCCGAATGATGATAAAAGAATTATTAATTATTTGTATACAGATACAAAACCATGGGGTTGGGAACTAAGGGGAAACATTTAGAAAATCTTTAGATTTTATTTATTTGTTATAAAACCTCTCATTTTTGAAAACATAGTCAAATGATGATAATGAAATATTGACGATGGAAAAGAGAAAATGCTGAAATATGTAAAAGCAATTCCAGGAGCCTTTACTCCTACCAAAGGATCTCCTAGAGCTGCAGGATTTGATTTAAGGAGTGTCTACAGTATAACTGTACCTGCAAGGGATAAGGCGCTCATAAATACAGGTCTGAAATTTGAATTGCCTTCAGGATGCTATGGAAGAATAGCACCTAGATCAGGATTAGCTTCAAAAAACGGCATCAATGTTGGAGGTAGAATTTTATTTTTATAATTATTAATATGATAACTATTCATTTTAATTTTCTTCTAGCTGGTGTTATCGATCAAGATTATAGGGGAATTGTGATGGTTCTACTCTTCAACCATTCGAATGAAGACTTTCAAGTAAACGTTGGAGATCGTATAGCTCAATTAATTTGTGAGCGTATACACTATCCTGAATTGGTTGAGGAAAAAGAACTTACCCATACAGAACGCAACACCAATGGTTTTGGATCAACAGGGCGATAATAAAAACCTAGCTCTAAGTGTTTTTTTTATATAACTTGCCTATAAATATTATTGTAATGAATATATTTATTAAGTATATTAAGCCTATTAAAAAAATAGAAGCATTTATGCTAGAGAAATTTTCTCAAATCGTGGTATAAAATGTAAAGATTATATTATTTTACTTTAGTATCCATAATAGTTAAGACAGATAGAGAGCGTGAAAAATTTTATTAATAAAAAAATTAATAAGAATGGTAAATACAAGTCTTCCGCAAGAAGTATCAGAAGATATTCGTAAATGGCGAGAATTTAAAAGATGTCCTGCATTCAATTACGAGTGTGGTAGATTGTTGTCAGCATTTGACAATCCTGGGAAATTAACAGACGCTGATTTTTTTAAATAGCCTTTTTAGGCTTACCGACAAATCTGATGTACCTGAATATGTGAAAACTGCAGTAAAACGGGACATTGATAATCGTCAAGCTGCACATTTACGTAACATACCTGGACATTTTTAATTTATGATTATAAATAGATCAGTTTGTAATATTTAGCATATGTAAAAAATAAACTGTTTTAAAAGATTTGTCTATGTGTGTCTTTCTGTTAATATCTCTAGTCTAGACTAGGTTGGTTAATACAACATTTAGTTTTAAGTAAACCATATAAAATTAGTACTCTTATTGATAACCTTTAACCTATTATGCATCATCAGATAAAATAACAACGCAATATTTTTATTGATAATCTTTAACCTTTTAAACGTTATCACATACAACAACAACAAGGCATAAAAGTAAACAATATAAAATTAGTACTCTTATTGATAACCTTTAACCTATTATGCATCATCACATGCAATAACAACGCAATATTCTTATTGATAACCTTTAACCTTTTAAACGTTATCACACACACAACAACAACATGACATTTTCTTAAATTTTAAGGAAATTTCTCGTCTATAGCACCCCAACCTATGGAACTCTTATAACATGGCATATATGCAAACTCCCTAAATCTACTAATTTAGATCTGGCAAAGCAGCATTTGCAGTACCCTCCTGCTTACCCTTAAAAACCTACCCTCACCCACCCTCAACAATTACATTAAGGTCCTTTTCAACAGCCTCTGGTAAATTTACAAGAACTACCCACACAAACATTATTTCTTTAGAAATAACCTTCAAATTAATCAAGGTCAATACTTCTTCGGCTCATGGATCGATGCTGATGGAAAACATGCCATCGAGCAAAAATTGATCCAGTATCCCGCTAGCTATACTACTGACTACTACGTTACCCAGGCTCTATCTGGGCATGGCTGTTTCAATAAATACCTGCACAAATTTCGAAGATCAGAGACCGCTGTGTGCTTGTACTGTAGTGAAGAAAATGATGCGAAACATACACTTTTTATTTGTAGCAGATGGGTAGGGCAAAGAAGACTATTCTGCACGGAAACTGGAAAAGTTTTTAACCCGACAAATATGATGGAGTCTTTAATGACCAAAGAAATGTAGGACCTGAGTTATAAAACTATAACACAGATTATTGAAACCCAAGAACGAAAACATAGACTGAATAAAGCCATCCGGACCATATCTATCCCTCCATAAAACTTATCTGTGATATTATACTGTGATATATACTTACCTGTTATATGTACTTACCTGTGATATATACTTATCTGTGATGTATACATACCATATTTACCTTAATTGCAAACTCCACCATAGAACCTATGTTATGCAATGAAGAGACCAGGCAGAGCGTGTTGAAGTAATGCGAGAGCGGTTTCCGATGCGCTTTTGTCTTTTTTCGGAGGGGAAGTTTTTAGTCGGTAGGCGAGCTACTGATGTGTTCGAATCCGACACACGCCGGCCTTTAGAACACCTGGTCGGTAAGGTCTTTTGAAGATTTTTTACCCCTCCCACAAAAAAAAAGTTATAAATAGCACGTTGTGATATAGTTATAGATCGCTTAAAATACCAGTTTATTTCAGTAAGTGAGGCGTTCGATGTTCTTTTTAAATGTTACCATGTAATGCACATTAACTATGCCCCACAAAGCCAGCACATGTGGCAATTAATTCAAATTTGTGTCTATAAAATAAGAACCAAGTATGATAAGGTATTTCCCAATTTATTGGATATACTTGCACAATTTGATTAATTTTCCTTTTTATACAGCAATGCCTTTGTTCCCGAATTTTGATTTTTAAAAAAGTATTTTTACCTAATAACGTCAAAATGAAATGTAAACTGTGTGGTAAGTATTTTTCTGCAATAGAAAAATATTTAATTCATCTAGAGTATGCACATAATATTCAAAGTCATTATGAATGTCCTATCGAAAATTGCAGTAGACTATATCATAGGAAAGATACTTTTAGAAAACATATAAAATCAAAACATAACATTAAACGGAGTTAAGAACAACCACTCCCCATATCTCGGAATATTCACAGCCCTTCGAAATTGAAGACATAGTCACAGCTATTAAAGACATCAAGCCGAACAAAGCTCCTGGATATGCCAACATTCATCCAGAATTCCTTATTTACGCTGGAAACCCTGCCCTCAAGTGGCTTTGTAGTTTCTTCTCGAGAATTTTATCAACCGGCAACATTCCAAAGGAATTAAAGAAAACTAAAATAATAGCTGTGTTAAAACCAGGAAAATCTAAAGATCAACCTCAGAATTATCGACCCATAGCCCTTCTTAGTTGTACCTATAAGCTCCTAGAACGACTTATTTTCAATAGAATAAAGGATAGTACCTTAGACCATATTCCAGTTGAACAGGCAGGTTTCATTCCTAAACGCAGTTGCTGTAACCAAGTCCTAGCACTTACATCTCACATTGAAGGAAATTTCCAACTTAAACTTAAAACCTCCATAGCTTTTGTCGATTTAACAGCCGCTTACGACACAGTCTGGAGAGATGGTATGGTTTATAAATTACTTAAAGCACTTCCTTGCAAACTATAGCTCGAGTTATCAACAACATGCTAAGGAACCGATATATCCAAGTATTTCAGGGAGAGAGCACAAGTAAACCTAAAAAACTTAACAACGGCTTACCCCAAGGCTCCGTTCTCGCCCCTCTCGTATTCAACTTATACATCTCTGACCTACCAGATACGCAATCTAGAAAATTTTGTTTTACGAGACGATATAGCCATAGCAACGGAATATGAATCGCTATATCAAACCCAAGAAACGCTTACAAAGGATCTCGCATCCTTGAATGCCTATTTTATAAAATGGAGACTTCAACCCAATGCAAATAAGACAGAAGTGGCTACCTTCCATCTTAATAACAAGCTGGCGAATACTGAAATAAGCGTCCAGTTTGGTAGCACCACTCTGAGTAATAACAAATATCCAAAATATCTGGGGATTACTCTAGACCGTACACTCTCATTTCGAAGAAAACACCTAGAAAATGTTGCTGGGAAAATCAGAACACGAAACAACATTATACAAAAACTTTGTGGTACTTCGTGGGGTGCAAAAGCAACAATACTTCGGATCTCCGCCCTTGGTCTGGTATTCAGTGTGGCAGAGTATTGTGCACCCCTGTGGTTGAATAGCCACCACACAAATCTCGTAGACAGACAGCTGAACAACACCATGCGGCTGATTACAGGGACAATCAGATGCACACCTAGTTACTGGCTTCCAGTTCTGAGTAACATCCTACCTCCAAATCTACGCAGAAACGAGGCTCTTCTTAGAGAATTTGATAAAATAATAGCTACCCCAACGCTACCTGTTCATGAAACACTTCCTGCTTTACAGGTGAATAGACTTAAGTCGAGGAATCCACCTTTGCGAACAGCTGAACAACTAAAAGCAGTAACTACAATTCTCGAGAACAGTGGCTTCAGTTATGGAGAGAAATGGCCGATGCGCACCTATATTCCTGGTTCAAACATAACTATTGCCAGACACCGGGTACCGATCTAAACCGGAAAACATGGTCAACTTTGAATAGGATACGCTCTGGCCATGGAAGATGTGCGGATTCCCTTTATAAGTGGGGAAAAATACCTTCCCCAGAATGTGATTGCGGATACCCTCACCAAACTAGAGAGTGCAACCTACGCGCTTATGGTGAAGACTGGAGGGACTTTCTGGAGGCTTCTCCATCAGCTTTGGAATGGATAGGGCATCTAGATGTTAATATATAGTGTTCGTAAATACGTTTTTTATGTTGTCTTTTTATATTATACTTGTTTTTTTTATATTTATATTGTAATGGTTTCATTTACATTGTAGTTTATTTTATGTCTATGTTTAAGTGTCTGGTTTTCTTGCATGTATATGAGCCATACAATAAATAAATAAATTAAACGTCGCAGCATAAATATGGATAATAAATCGGAAAATAGTTCTAAGGATATATTAATATCAAATTGTGTAAACAAAATTTCACCCGAAAGCATTTCACCTGAAATATATGTAAATGACCAAAAATCTCATCCCCTGATAATAAACATCTAAAAGAAAAATTTTGTTCTTTAATGAAAAAATCTATAGAAGTATTTATATCTCACCTTTAAAATAATTTAAACATCGCACGATCTACTATTCAGTCCGTAATAGATTCAGTAACAAGTTTTGTTTAATCTGGTGTAATAGATTTAATTAAGGAGTCTTTTCGCAACCTGTGCAAAACTGAAAATGAAGATTTGAAAGAAGTTTTTCAAATGTTAGATATTTTAGCAAACCCATTTTACACATTGAGTACAGAATATAAACATTTTAAGAATTTTCGTAATAATGAAAAATGTATTCAGCCTAGAGAACAAACCATTGGTGTGTCAGAAGATCGTAAACGACAAAATAAAGAAATAATTATGACGCTAAAAGAACAAGTAACATGTTTTGTCCCCATGAGAGATGTTTTAAAACAGTTTCTGGAATTGCCTGACGTTTTTGACACTATTTTTTTAATTATCAAAATAACTTAAAAAAAACATATAACGAAACTAGTACGATTTCCAATATAGTTCAAGGCGGAAAATAAACAGCAACTTTTTGCAAACATATATTGTTTTTCCTCTTATTACATATTTTGATGATCTTGAACCCACAGTTAGCCTGGGCCAAGATGTCAAGAAAAAAAATATATAAAATTTGAGTGTTATATTTTTTAAATGCTCATACCTCTGGGTTTAAAAAAAATTAAAATGAAAATCGCTGACGTACAATTGGGGTCTCTACACAAATTTCAAAAAATATACTTTTTTAATCGATATTAAAAGCTGCGCACAAGTTTTGGTAAG